AGGGGATTTCTAATCGGATCGAGACCAGGCTAGTTTTTAGGGCGACTTTCATTGTGTAGTACGATTTTTTGTTTAAGTGTACGTCCACATTTAATACTATTATAATAGAAATATTAAGACTATTTTCGTCAGCAAAATGAGGAAAAATTAATTTTAATTTTGATTTTGTGTCTAATTGTAATTGGTTTGTCGTCAATTGCTTTGCATGTTGCACATAAATAAATATCTAAATGGGCATTCAGATGGTGGGGTGGTGGCAAGCGGGGGTATGTTGAGTCACAGTCGCAACCCGCATATGCAGCCAACTGGCGGCCACATGAAAAGTAACCAGGGCAAACTGTAAACCCCCCCAAAACTAGTGTAGAAAATGCGACTAAAGTGGCAACAGGAGCGGGTTAAGCAGCAATCAATTGGCCAATTGTTATATGGAAAGGGGCACGCGGGTGCCCGTAGAACCTACTAGATAGGGCGTCTGTCCCATATGTTTAGTCATTAATTCATTGCTTAATTGCTGCTTTTATCAAATACAAATAGCGCAGGGAACTGGGGAGTAGGCGGGGGTTTCGCGTCGTAGAACGCAAGTTTTTTTTTTTTGTTTTTTTTTTTTTTTAGTTGCGCCTTGAAAGAAATTTTCATTTCATAGTCGCTCATTGAAAATAATTAAAATTAATTAAGCCATTTTATATACTGGCTGGCGGCTATTGCATTGGCTAACTGACGATACCCCCACCAGCCCCTTGCAACCCCTCGCAACTCCCCGCCCTACTCCAGCGCTGCTAGTGTCTTGTGCAACGTATCTATAAATTTAAATCGCCTTTAATTGAGTCGACTTTTGGGTGACGAACAACTTTCGCAGACTTTTGTGGAAATTTGAAGGAATTTTATGATTATTGTAGAAGTTTTTAATGTTTTTTGATTAATATTTAATTACAGGGGCTTAGACTGACCGATTTGTCGAGCATATTTCGAAACTTTTGGTGGCGCGGCCTAATCAAACAGAAATCAAACAAAAAAAAACAACTATATATAAATGAAATTCAACACGTGCAATGATTGATTGTTAGACATTATTATTATTATTAATGTAGTTGTAGTTGTAGTTGCTGTTATGGGCCAGGGCTTAAATGTGAGTACAACAGAGGAGGAGGAAAAAAATAAAGAAAGAAAACTCAACTTGGCATTTGGTTCTTTGTTGTCTGTGTCAAAGAAAAACATATCGAATATGTAAAGGATGCCAGTGGCTGCTGGCTGGGAATAAATTCAGTGACTCACCGAGCCTGTCGCACATGAATGAATGTCTGATTGACTGACTGAGTGACTGACTGACTGAGTGACTGAATGACGTACAAACTGACACGCATTGTCTATGGGGACCAGGCTAACAATTCTTTACATTTGACGATTTTACATTTAACATTTAATTCGTTTTTCTCTCGCTCTCGAAAGTTTGTCGGAAAAACTACAATTTGAGTGATGGAACGAATTTGCATTCGACATTTTATGACACACACACACACACACACACACACACACACGAAGAGAGAGCTAGAGAGAGAGGGGGGAGGAGAAACACTGATGATGCCACACAAATTATGTGGCCAAGTGCAACAACAACTAATTCAGTTAATTGTGATACTAAAATTGCGTTTGTTTATGAAATGAGAAATGTTTTATTAAGGCGAACGAAACTCAAGTGAATTATGACACAAAAAAATGTACAAATTTCTAATTCGACGCATTAAAAAATAAATACATTTGTATTAGGAAGCATAAAATGGTATACCTAAAAGTACCATGTGTTTAGAAGTCTGAGACTTTTAAGTAGTTGTCAAAATCACTCAAATTTATAGCCAAACAAATTGTAAAGAATCTAAAAATAAACGCCTATATTATTCAGGTATTCCATTGTAATTTTGAAGGAAATTATAATGAATTTCTGTGGAGGACTTGTTGAATCCAAAACGAAACTCTTGTCAAGTTGCATCACTCAGATTGGAATATATCTGATTAACAAAGAAGCTGAATATTTATAACAGAATGCATATTCATATGCATTTATATTACCATATTGATCTAAGCTATATGCAGATTGGTATTCCCGATATGGCTCAAATGCACAAGGCCAGGCTGACAAATCTCGAAAGATAAAGACAGCCAGATAAATGTAGATTTACGAGTGCCCAGATCAGAAGCCAATCATCTGTCGCTTTGCACATTGTTCAGTATACATACCGAATATATACATATATATTCATATGGCAATTATTCGAATTTATTTTTAATGTGCAATATAGCCATATGTAAGGATTGCCATCTCTCACTCTCTCTAAATCTCTCTCGCTCATGCTACACACTCAAAGTGTATGCGTGTGTGTGTGTGCGTGTGTGAGTGTGAATGTATGTGTGACTACTGACTACTTAATTTCCAAGTGCCATAAAAATGTGAATGCCTTTCGGAATTGAGAATTGAAAGCCCAGCGTATTTGGGCGTTGAAAAATAAGTTGGCTTATTTATTGTGCCATGCTTATAAATATTTAAAAAGCATCCTAATGAAATAAACAATTAGTTTATTTATTGACAAACACACACACACACACTTAGACTCACACATATAGATATTGAACAACTCTTTGCATATAGATTTAGATATGATACACATATATATATATATATATAGAGGAAGTATGTGGCCCAAAGTGCTCAATGCTGAAAGGCAATTGTATTTGGATCCCTTTGGGTGTCAAAATTTGTACACAATAATTAATCGCATATTTGCGACATTACGTGAACAATTTGGGATATTCGAATAAGCCAAGAACAACACGCAATTGCAAAGGGCTTAAGCGAAGCTGTTGATTTAGTTATGGGCAGCAAACTGTACATTTCAGTTCGAGTGCTGCATAAAACAGAAAACACACACACACACACACACACACACACACACACACACACACACACACACACATATATACATATATGTTAAATATGGCAATTAATAAATAAAATGCGTCTATTTCGAATCTCCCCCAAAGTTTCGACAACCCGTTTTGCCGATGGCGTCTTGTCTTGGGCTGAGTGCTCGTTGATTTAAAACATACATTGCTGGCCTTTAATTGTGGCGCATTTTTGTCGAATCCGAAGAAACATCAGCCACATTTCGTTTCCTTTTAATGAAAACAAATTTGATGATCGAATGTGGGCTAGCAAGTGGAGAGGGAGGCAGGCGGAGGGGCGGGGGAGGGGATCGGGCGAATACCTAAGCAACAAATCGAAGAACGAAAACTTAAAAGAGGAGCGCGCGCGAGCGCCCTGTAAATGGGGAATTATGAATTGGGCATGTATTGGTGTACATGCATGCATGTATATCTGTATATGTGTAGTGTGGTGAGTACCGAGTACTTGAGCATGCAAGTGTGTGTGTGTATGGGCCAGAAAATTATGATTTGTGTAAAAGTTGCCTGTGATTAAGCACTTTTAAGTGTAATTCGGTGATGTTGTTGTTGTTATTGTTGTTGTTCTAGTGCTTGGTACGGTGTACGGTGTACGGTGTACGGGAAGGGTACGGGGTACAGCACAACACTAAAAATAGCAGCAAGCGAGCAGATGATGTTTGCCTAAACCATAACTAAAATCTTTATAGCTAAAGATATTTGAGAGATCTTCGGCGGCTGGCGACTGGCGACGGCTGCGGCTGCTGCCGCTTCTGCTGCTGCTGCGATTACGACTGCGGCGGCTGTTTAAAGTCAATTTTTGAATAATTATGAATCGTTTTTCAGTCTTTTCTTCAGTTTTATTTTGTTTTTTTTTTGGTTCGTTGTTGTTCTCTAATTATAACAACATCATAATCATAATAATTTCTTTTGAGTGGTATTTTGGCTGCCTCCACTTCGTGTGTTCTTAATGTGCCAAATATATTTCTATCTATTGAGCCAAAATTGCGAATATTTGTCCAACACACACACAGAGACACACACACACACACACACACATAATTATATATTTATCCTCACAAAGTTGCCCCAATATGCAAATGATGCAGAGAGATTTATGAAAAACTAAAAATATATGTATAAATATCGAAAATGAATTATGGAAACCGATTTAAAATGCGTTTATGAGCCAAGTGAAATTATGCAAATTCAAGATGCAGCTGCAGCATCTAAGCAACAAATTATAAACCATGTGTCACAAGATCAGATATAAACTAAGTGCAATAATATCAATTAAAGTCAATCAGAAAATCGCAAATATCAACTTCATGTATACCATAGTTTATTGCTCAAAGTTAAGGTTACCATTTAAATCAACTTACATTTAACTTTTCCATAACAAACATGAATTAAAGTGTGTATTTTATGTTGATTTAAATGTAGTTTAATTGGCCCAGGTTGGTTTTTGCTCAGTGTATATTGTTGCATAGTTTTTGCACAGAGAGCGGAAGTTCTTTAGACGTCACTTGCACTTTATATTAATGACTGAAAATATCTGAGAACATGTTGAATTGTATAAGCAAAACTCAAATCACAGCTCCTTATATGATTTTGCGCTTAATCAAAATCGCCGGAAATTATAAGATGCCAATAATAAAAATTAATATGCAGAGATTAAAACGATTTATATGTGCGCCATGGCGTTGAATGCGTGCGACTGCGCCATAAAATTGTTTATAATATAGCACTATAAACACACATACATACACACATATACATATACATATACATGCATACCCAATAGTATATTGTATATCATTTGTATATGTATAGACTCTAGCTTGTTCAGTTAACACTTTGGTTTAATGACTAAGACTAAGGAGCGCCCCTCGTTTGCTCGAAAACATTTTTGTCAATAAAATAGAAATTAGCGACGCTGAATCACAATTCTAGTCAGATAGAAATACGAGCAATGTACTTGTCTTTGTACCCCTTTGTATGGATGTTTGTGTGTATGTATTTGTTAGTTATGTACTTATTTGTACATATTTGAATAGTGAGTTACTTACCATTGTGTCTTGGCTCGCTTGTTGTTGTTGTTGTTGTTATGATATCCACGACAGTAATAATCCCAGCAAGAACTCGAGTTAAATGTTTATTAGATTTATATTCTTGGTTTTTATATGTTTCTTCACTTTTAGCACATATTCAAATGTTTGCACGTTTGCAGCTGCAAATTTTAATTTGATTTGATTTAATTTTATTTTTATTTTTATTTTTTATTATTTGTATTTTTGTTGTTTTTATCACTAGTGTCTTTCCGTTGTTGCGCGCGTGCCGAATAATAAACAAATAATGTTTTCTGCTAATTATAATTGCCGATATATATATATATATATATATATGTATGTATGTATAGATATTGTCAGCGTTATGGATATTATAGAGTTGTATAGGGCTCGATAGAGAGTAATTATTTATTACAATATGCAACAATAAAAGCCGGAGCCGGGAATGCCGCTGCACGCGTTCGTGTTCGCACTGCTGCACGTTTAGTCAATGACTAAAGGGCGGGCAATTCAAAATTTTTTAAAATTCATCAACGCTGCCGGCAGCGACGGCAACGCATCAACGCGTCAACGCAAACGTCGACAGCAGCAAACACACAACAAAAACCAAAAACTAATAAAATCAATTACAAACGCACACAAACATATTCATACACAAGAGCAGCAGACAGCCGAAGACATCGAGCGGCGAACGACGAACAACGAAGGCAAAGAGCACGAACAAAATGCCGACAACGCGACGTGCTATACGAAGTGCACGAAGCGAAGTGTTCTCGTTCTCTGGAAAAGAAAAATGAAAACAACAACAAACACAACTGCAGCAGCAGCAGCAGCGACAGCGGCAGCAAAGGAAGCGGAGCATGGAACTAGAGCTCTGAGAGAGCGTGTCTCAAGTTCTTCTATTTCTTGAGCGCTCATCTCTCTGAAGGGAATACACGTTGTGCGCAAAAAAAGAGAACGTACGTTTTGGCAAATGTGGACTTGTGCTCTTTGTTGCTGGCGCGCGCTCTCTCTCGCTCTCTCTCGCTCTCTCTCTCTCTCTCTCTCGTGGCCATTTAAATGTGGGCCAAAAGTAATGACAATAGCGGCAATTGTTTAGCTTGAAATTTTAACGTACTTTTTTAGCAGTAGCCGTCGCTTGGACCATTGCCAACTATTTTTTTTAGCTCAAGCGCTCTTGCTGTAGCTCTCTCCCCCCACACTCCTCATGCCATCTCTTTTTTAGTGTTTTTTTTTTTTTGGCACGCACACACAAATTGCGCTCTCTCGGGCCATGTGTGTGTGTGTGTGTGTGTGTCTCAGTGTGGGTGTGTTCGCTTATGTCGCTTGCCAAATGAGCCAAGCAAAACAAAAAGGCAAAAATATACATATGCACGTGTGTGTGTGCATATGTTTGCACGAATGCATGCATGTATGTGTGTATGTCTGTGTGTGTGTAGCAAGAACAAGCATTGCAACAACAACAACAGATTGCCTTCCACAGCATTTACAAGAGGAAAATATGCAAACAATTTCTGCATTTATGGCAAGGCAACGGTTAAGAATTTCATGTTGATCTCGTTGTACGCAATGCATTTATGTAGTTATGTGGTACGTACTTGTGGGAATGTATTTTCCAAATCGCAGCTGCCCAAAACTGCACACACACACATACACAGATGGATGCATGCATGCATAGCATAAGTTTGAGCGTATTTGATAAAGTGCGGGCTTTTTAGTTGCAACACCCCTGAGCACTTTGTTTCATTTTACTAATATTGAACTCACACGTAATCGCCGCTGCTGCCGAAGTGTCCTTTTTGTTGCTCACATTTCAATTGAGCGCTGAGTTACCCTCATATATGAGGCATTATGTATTTACTACAGCTATCCATAATTACACAAAAGTCTAGCACATATATCGCATATAAGCCGCAACGCAGCGCATAAATCGCAATTAATCAAGTGCAAGCCAATGCCGTTAAAATCCCCGAGCAGCTCACCCCATACCCTTTGAATGTAGCATCAGCAGTGGCAGCAACCCTCCTCAGTCCAATTCAACCCAATCCCATTGAATCCAGCAACAAGAACAAGAAAAAGTTCAACTGCTGTTTTGAGCTCAACAACAATTACATCGCATGCTTATTCGCTCGCACACACACACACACACGTACATGTATATATATTATCCCTATCTCACTCTCACACTCACACTCGCATAACGAAAGCTACTAAAAATGTAATCATTATGCTTTATCGTAATAATCAGCAGCCGCAGCCCAGCCAAGTTTGGCCCAGCAGCAGTCGACAGACTGAGAGCGAGAGGGAGACCCTCAGCAAGAGAGACAGAGAGAGAGAGAGAGAGAGAGAGAGAGTGAGCGAGAAATATAAGTACTACATTCTAACATAACAAACAGGCAAACAAACAAAACTAAATTACAACAATTCCAAAAATTTATAATTGTGCTGCGCACACAGTTAGAAATCTCAAACTACCACCAGCAGCAGCAGCAAGCAGCAAGCAGCAGTTGCTGCAGACACCCCTTCCACAACCCACAGTCCCACCCCACCCCACCACACCCCACCCCATCCCAATGCCGAATGCCAGGCTCATTCTCAAGCTCATACTCTGCGGCCCCTCAATCATCATCCTCATCATCATCCTTTTGGCTTGCCTTCTTGCCTTACAATTCGCCATGCTGCTGCCGCTGTCGACGTCGTCGTCACAACTAACACACACACACACACACACACACGCAGGCTAAAAAAAAAAGGCAGTTAAGTTAAAATGTACTTAGAGTTTAAGCGTAACCCCGAAATCCCAACCGAACCCAAACGAGATTGTGTGTTTTAAGCGTTTTAGTTGCCCGCTTGCACCACCCCTCTCGCTCTCCCTTTCTCACTCTCTCTCTCAGGCTCTGCCTCACAGCTAGCGTCGACAACGGCAACGACAACTGCGACGGCGACTGCAACGGCAACGCCAATGTCTGCGTTAGCGTCGCTGCCGCTGCTTAACTTTGGCGAGCGAACGAGCAGCAGCAGCAGCAGCAGCAGCACTAGTAGCAGCAGCAGCAGCAACAAACAGTCAGTCAGCCATCTTGTACGACGTTATTAAATTTTATACAAATACTAAAAATGAAATCAAAATTTTCTTATTACAATGACTATTTTCTCTTGAACAGCTGTGCGCCCCGAACTGGGACCGACCGACAATGAGCATGGGTCCGTTTCTGAGCATGTCTTGCTGGATATTTGGTGGTTGGGTTCAAATTGATGGGTTGCAAAAGCGGACTGTGAGGGGGGGAGTGGAGAATGGCGAGTGGGGAGGGGGGTGCGGGCGCTTCTTGAGTGGTATTCGCTTATGCTTTTACTGTGGCTCTGACGCTGACGCTGGCACTGGCGCTGGCGCTGGCTCTCCGCTCCACACCATCCTTGACTAGTCGTCTGTAAGTATGTTTGTCGAGTCGAATGAATTGTACTTATGCCATACTTATCGACTGCATTGTAAGGGATACGAAGTTTTTTGGGTGTTGGCCCCAAAAAAAACATTTGTTGTTGCTGCTGCCATTCGGTCGTCCTGCAAATATTTTTGTGCATTCACAAAAATTTCTATGCAGTCGCTGAAAATTGCCATAAATTCAATTATAAATTGTGTAATTGTTGTACGGTTTTATGGTCCTTGGCAAACTGGACACGTTTTCAGAGTTCCTGTTCCTTTTTCACTTCCTACCCATCACCAACTAAACAAATGAATTTCTATTAAAACAGATTCTACCTGGTTTAGATAAGCAACTCGCACACAATCTACACAATCCCAGCCGAGAGAAACTACCTGAAAGACATATTTAAAATTTAAATTAAACATTGCCACGAAAAACAAAAATAAAGGAAGAAAACAGAAGAAGAAGTGCCTAAACAAATTCTGATAAGCCCTGTGCAGATAGGACAACAGGACAAGCCAGCGCAAGCAATGAATAATACCAATCACGTAGCCAGCTCTACGGGCCACCTCCAACGACAGCGCGTAGCCTAATCAAAAGAATATTGTAGACTAAGCCAAGACAAGGTAAGACAAGGCAAGAGGAGAAAAGAATACAGCCGACGAATTCTAAAGGATCGTTTGACGAGTTCGTCAAAATGAACGCAGAGCATGAAGCATCTGAGCAAACGAAACGCAGTTCGACTATGACAATACCCTATAACTTAAAATGGAAGGTGCTTATATTTGTATTATAAAATGTTTTTATAACTATGGGATAAATACATATATGTAAATATAAATATATATTTTAAATCAATGATAATTTTATTTCACTCTGATATGAGAACTGAGATAAGACTTTCGCAAAGATTCTAGTTAAAAAACTATATTTTTTAGAAAATTATATTGTAACTTATTGTATATTAAAACATGTTCATTATAGTGAATATATAGTTTATTATCTTATTGTCATTCAACATACATACAATGATTTCTTCATTAGTACAAATTAGCATATAGAAAATTAGAAACACCTCTGGATGAAGTACATATATTAGGTATATATCTGATTCCAGAGTGCATCTGCTTAATTTGAGTGAAGGCATTTTCAGTGGCCTATTTACAGGGTATACTGTAAGTAAGCCACTACTGCGTCCAGTCATATGAAAAATGCGTATTCTCACACCAACGCTGCAGACAAGAACAACAAATTAAGTGCCAATGCAATGCATACACTCGCACACACACACCTAGAAACACACCTACATACTCAATATACATGTACACAGGTATAGGTATAGAAATATCAATCTAAAGGTACGTCTATCTATGAAATGAAAACATGTTTCATGCGCATGCGCAAAGCCTGACGAAGACTGAAATGAAACTCTGCCGGACAATTAGTTCAGACAGGCTTCCATCTCGCATTGGACGACGACGTCGTCGTCGTCGTCGTCGTGGTCTTGTGTTAAAAGGTCAGCGTTGCGGCTAAGAGTATGCCAGTTGATGTCAGGGCCCGGTCTCCGGCCCTGTTCTTTGATAGCGTTGATCTATTGTTGTGTGTGCATTGCCTTTTTACATTTTATACGCATGCTTCTCTTTCTTTTCGATATTTCTTTTCTTATTTTTTGTTTTTTCTTTCATGTTTTTAGTGCCCAACGACTAGGTTCGTCAAAATGATTGATTTGTAGGTGATGAATTACAACAACAGCAGCAGCAGCAGCAGCAGCAGCAGCAGCAGTACCTAAGTAACTCAAAGGCTGGCTTAGTTAAGAGCCATACATGCTCATATCTTTTGCTGTGTATCTGTGTGAGAAAGGTACGACATAGTGAGGGATTAAATACGAAATTCCATTTAAAAATCTTTTATTGTTCGCTTATTGCTCTTTTTTTTTAGGGGTGCAGCTTTTGACTTATTGTTTTGTATAGCATTTTTACAGATAAACTGATATCGTAGCGGGAAAATTAATTATCATAGCGTATAAAGAAGAGGACAGACAACATTGCCACTTAGTAGGTACTGTACACGAT